GCTTAAGATATAATTATCTTAAGCTACATGTACAATAGCCAAAAACTCTGTAGAGTTTATTAGCTAATAGATTTATAATGAAATGTAACCCTAGTACTAAGCTTAAGATAAGATTAGACTTAAGCTAAATGTATAAAGCAAAAAAAACTCCTTAGAGTTTATTAACTAATATACTTTTATGTTATAAACATAGTACTGAGCTTAAAGATATGATTAAACTTAAGCTATATATATATAATAGCCAAACTCCGTTAGAGTTTTGTTAGCTAATACATTTTATAATGTAAACATACTGCTTAAGATATGATGAAACTTAAGCTAATTGTATAATAATAGCAAAACAAAACCTTTTAGAGTTTGTTAGCTAAAATACTTATATGATATAAACCTAGTATTGAGCTTATGAAGGAAAACTTAAGCTACATATATAATAGCAAAACTCCGTAGAGTTTGTTAGCTAATACATGTTATAATGTAACCATAAAGCTTAAAATATGATGAAAACTTAAGCCAAATATATAATAGCAAAAACCTCTTTTAGAGTTTTGATAGCTAATATACCTATATCATATAAAACATAGTACTATAAGCTTAAGATATGAATAAGCTTAAGTTACATATATAATAGCAAAAACTCTGTAGAGTTTGTTAGCTAATACATGTTATAAAATAGCCATATTGCTTAGAATATGATGACACTTAAACCCAATAGCAAAACTCTTTAGAGTTTGTTAGCTAATATACTTATATGGTATAAACATAGTACTAAGCTTAAGATATGAATAAGCTTAAGCTACCTATATAATAGCAAAACCCGTAGAGTTTGTTAGCTTAATATATATTTTATAATATGAGTATAGTACTATGCTTAAGGTATAATTAACTTAAGCTACATTATATAATAGCCAAAAACTCTGTAAAGTTTGTTAGCTAATGCATTTATCATGTTACCATAGTACTACTCTTAAGATATGATTAACTTAAGGTAAATATATAATAACAAACTCTGTAGAGTTGTTAACTTATATATTGTATGATGTAATAATCATAGTACTGTGATGATAAAAGGAACTTAAGCAAATTATATATATAGCATGTAGCTATTTAGTACTGTTATAAGATAAGTAGAAAACTGTAAGATTGACTTATCTTCTCCGAGGAACTGTCAATTGTTGTGCGAGGGACCATGGGATTCGAATTGGTGGATACCTGGGACGCCCTCAGTGGTGATATCTCTCAGATAATGGTTGGCAACCACCATATCGGATCTCCAGAAATAAACCCTCCATTATTCCAAATAACATTAGTGTAGATCAATTGTAGAAGTTAACAGCTCTAATATCATGAGTATTAAAAGCTCATGGAGGGTCGGATTGGGTCCATCCGTCTTGTATGCACATAGTATGACAGTTCTGATCCAAACGGAGATATAGTACGTGAGACTTCATTCTGCCTAAGTTGATGATAGAGGAAATAATCTGTTGCATTTTCCCTTCCTGTTTGGTTCGGTGGAGATAAATTTACAGTGCTCTTGCTGGCCATCGTGATAGAATCATGCCATATCATGGAGCCCAAGTATGTCATCCAGGCGTGTTCATAAACCTCACTTGTGAGGTGTTGGAGCACTATATTCAGATCCCCAAGTTGGAGTGTGAAACTTCCGTTTTAATTCTCCAATCAGAAAGCTTAAGTAGGTTACTAACCATCTAGTTGTGTTAGTAGCTTGATGATGAAATTCAGCTGTAGTCTGAGACGCTGTGGATTTAGATCCACTTGTATCCCGTCCGTCCTTAGGTAATTCGCTCGCGGCAAGTCCTTTTGACGATGTAGGTTCACAACCAGGTGTGTCCGTCCTCGTGAACTTTATGAAAAATGCGCCTGACTGCCGTGCCTCGCCTTAACTTGACAGGGGAGGTCTCTAACCTGAAGAAAGCAGCCTAATCATGAAGGTTCAGGTTAACTGGACTGTAAGGAGGCTTGCTCGTTCACTGATATATAGTTGTCACTTGTGACGTAAGTCTTGCACTGTGAACTAAGATCGACCTCACGTGGGGCTGTCCATCGCGTCCAATCAGAAGAAGGCATTTTGATTCTGTATAATAATTCGCTGTGTGATGTCACCGTGTAGTAGGAAAAAACCTTGTATGAAAATCTTGCCGTCCCTGATATTAGCATAAGCGCCGGTCTTCACCGTGAGCTTCCCGAAGTTACCCGAGTGACCACGTGTTTCGAGGGTTAGTGGTAAACGCCAGCGAACCTTCGCGCCAAAAATACCTCGCTCTGTAATATTAATGCTGGGTAGGTTATTTTTCCTGGCTGTCGTGGAAAGTAACTTCAGTTTTGAATATAATTCCGACTTCCTTATATAAAGGTACAATAAACTTGCAAGTTGTCAGCTTGTAGACTGTATACATGAATGTATCGTCATAATTGTAGAATTAAAGCTGAACTTGTTGTACATATTTCTTCTCAAGAAAGCGTTGACGATTTATGAGTTATACTCGCTGTAACAAGACTGCTGTTCAATTTCGATATTGAATTGTCTGCAGATATGCGTAATGGTCACGCATGTAGATAATCGTATCGTCGTCCGGGATTGCATATTCTAGCAATTTATACGGAATAGTTGATTTCTGTGAAGATCTATGAAACGTCGTTGACTAAATAATACAGCGACGTTCTGTGTTGTAAATAGCCTGTGCAATTGTCTTCGCGTAGGCTTATAGACGGCATCTGGCATACAGTTGATAGACAACTTATGCGATGTGTTGAATGGACTGACGAGTAGCTATATATGACGAGTGGCTAGTATATGGAGACCTTGGAGGAAACTTCCTCGGTGAATGCCGGAGACTTCGCGAAGCTCTCGAAGTATCCCTTCTAGATTTTCTGGGTGAAGTAGACTTGCAGCCACTTAGCCTTCGCGACCTTCGCGAAGGTATCGAGTCAAAGCCCGATTAGTATATATATATATATATATGAGCTTGCTTCGCGAACGGCCTCTGTGTTAAACAGGATGTGGGGTCGTGAAAGGCTTCTCTCCTCCTTGATGTCCCTTGTAGCTGGTGAGGCTCTAGCTCCTTCTCGGAGGCGGCCTGGGACTTGCTGGTTGTGCATAAGTAGGGCCGAGTGGATCATCTTATCTTCAGAAGTCGTGTTACAAAGTCTGGTGATAAGTGTCTTATTGATCGTTCTAGATCTATTTAGGCCAGAGAACATACGCCTCTGGGTCATGGATTCAACTGAACCAATTCGATTGTAGTTCTTATTCTTGATATCGATGATCAACTTGTCTATGGGTTGATCTTCTCGAGACTTGTGAGGAGAACGTTGATAGCTTCGCGAAGCTCTTGTGTAGTCCCTCGATGTCCTTCTAGATGATGATGATCTGGATTCAGGTGTCCTTCACGAATGCCTTCGCGAAGCTTCCTCTGCGTCCGGTCCGGGGGAATCGACAATATGACCTTCGCGAAGGCTTCCGTGATGTCTGATGGTCCGAATCCACATCTAGGGATGAAACCGAAGAAGGCGATGATCTATCCCGCCTTCGCGAAGTCCTTCGCGAAGGCTGTACATCTAGGTCCTTCATCAAGGTGGTCCGTGACTTCCTTCGCGAAGGTGACATCGTCCTGGCTGCTACGTTGACGGGGGGTGCCTCTGGGGTGCTGTCTACGTTGGAGCCTTCGCGAAGGCTCGGTCCCTGCTACTGCAGTCTGTAGCGGTCCTCCATCATGGTCATAATTTGCCGCATGAGGTCCTCAGGGATGGTCTGCGACGAGGTCGTCGGTGCCTTATCTGCGGTGTTAATGGAGGGGTCCACAGGAAAATCGTCCGACATCAGTGTAGAGGCATCAGGCTGCATGGTGATCTCTGCTGATGTCATTGTAGCTGTCACCGGTCGCTTCTTGTGGCGTACGTCGGGGATGATGATCGGCTGATCATCGTAGAGGTCCAGGTCATCGGCTGGAACAATCTCGGTTGAGAAAGTCCTAGTAGACTTCGTTGATTTCCCCTCAGAGGTCGATGCTGCCCTGGGTGTGCGACGTCTGCGTTGAGTGTTGGTAGCGATGGGACCCTCAGGAAGATCATCGAATATCAGCGTTGGTACATCAGGCTGCATGCTGATCTGCGCTGACATCACTGTTGCCGACATCGGTCATTCTTTGATGTGTACATCAGGTATGATGATCGGCTGATCATCATACAGGCCCAAATCTGCGGGAACAATCTCGCTGTTGAGATGTAGTAGAAACCCTCTAGTCTTCGGCTGCGGCGATGGGATGTCTGGAGAAGCAGGACGCTTCTTGGAGATGGTGGACTACGTCCCACGCCTCTCCACCACTCTAGCGGAACACCACACTGGGGGTGGCCAACAGCAGTAGACTGGCGAGGGGTTCAGGTGTATCAGTCATACTAGACTCTGCATACGCGACCTATCTGCTGCGCGTCTCAAACGCAAAGTAAATATTAATAAAGGGTAGAATTGGATAAATTAGTACCGCAACTGCAACGTGAATAAAATGAACATGGCGCAATACAACTAAGGCGGATCAGCAGCAGAATAAAAAACGTAATCTGCAATAGTACAGAATTTTTATCAACGTAATACACTGAAACAAACACGCGGCCCCGTGAATAAACTGTAGAAAAAGCGATTAAATATCATATATAATCGTTGAAGGATACTAGCTAAACCTCTATAGATGTCTATACCAGGTAACTAACTAAATATAAATCAAAGGATATAGTGTCGGAGACACAGAGCTCTCTTTATCCAGCTCACTGGGCTTAAGAAGGAGAGAGTGAGGCACATGGGTAGAGGTGGTCTGCCCTCGCTCCAGCTTTGTGGAAGGGGAGGTATAAAATATAGGCCAAAATTTTGTCGAAAATGTGTGACATTGTGCCTTTATGTAGCCATTGTTCAGATGGCATTCTTCCTTCACAGTCTGCCGATGTGCTGTTGTGGACAGTGCTATGTTACATTCACTATGTAGATTTACCTGCATTGACACAGAACTCCCCTATCATCGGATCGGGGTTGGCCAGTGGAGTCTGAGTCAGGCAACTGAGGATGAGGATGTCGCTATTCCGTAACGGCGCTTGCTCCATGGGCTGCAAGTATTGGGAAACAAGCCTAAGCCTACAAATGGTCTAAGGTGTAATGCTTGATGCAGGTAAGGATGTAATATTGAAAGTAAACAACAATTCAAATCTCATCTGAGTAATCACCAGATGCCACTACACATCAGCGATACAGTAAACTGGGCTCTAAAGTGTGTGAGTATGATTTTACACCGCTCTTACATATTTTAGCAATATTCCAGCAATACCATGGCGGGGGACAAGAGAAATGGGCTTCACAGATTGTACCCATGTGGGGAATTGAATCTGGCTATTTGGTGTGGAGAGCGAACGCTTTAACCACTTGGCTACCCCACCTCACCTCACCTCTGGGCTCTGGACCAGCCGACTAACGGGATCGGGTGGTCAGGCTCGCTGACTTGGTTGACACATGTCATCGGTTCCCAATTGCACTGATCGATGCTCATGCTGTTGATCACTGGATTGTCTGGCCCAGACTCGATTATTTACAGACCGCCACCATATAACTGGAATATTGCTGAGTGCGGCATAAAACTAAACTCACTCACTCACTCACTCACTCACTCTGGACCAGCCAGGAGAACCTTGTGGGGGAATCCCCTTGCATTTGATTGGATCATGCTTACTAAAACCATTTCTTTTGCAAATTTGTCTGCATGTGTAAATATGCATCAACAATTTTTGTTCAATACACAGGAAATGTGTATGTGTTAGTTTAGCAACAATGAAGTTCAGTTCATGTATTCAAAAGAGCAACGTCCCTTATTTTGGGGGCAAATTGTATTAAGTACAACAATTACTACTCCCTTCTTGCCATTCATTTTTTATTGTCTTAAATCTACACCTGTTTATCTGTCATCTTTATTACCTGTATAATTGATTGTTGAACCACTCAGAATACCTGACAAACACAATTCAAAATACCCAAATGACATTCACCCCTGCCTCTGTGGGTGTCAGGGATACATAGCAATGAGTGGTTTGCTTTATGCACTTCTATGTCTGGGTTAATAATTTCATGTTTGATTCAGTCATAAATCCTGGTCTGATGCAGTAATGTCTAACATGTTATGTAATACCCACGTAGCAGCACAGCAAGAGAAAAAAAGTTGCGTAAAAACATCAAAGGTTTAACCAACTGTGATCTTGCAAAATGGATATGTCAAAAGCAAATGGACCACACCCATATTTGGGCATGAAGTGCCCATGTTAAAACATCATACTTTCTGCAAAGGATTAGCAGTAATTGGTTGATTGATAATTTCTTGTGATGTAACCCACTGGATATTTTTTTTTTATACACAATGTGGACATTATTAACATATTTCATGTGTGCTATGTTTGTGGAACAACTGAAACAAGTTGGAAGACAGACAAGGGTTATAACATTCCGAAACACTAAATATATTTCAAAATATTAGATGGTTATAAAGACATCGAACATCTAACAAGTCTCTTTGCACAGTTTCATATGTTCTTTCTGTGGATACTTAGGGATACATTCGTCAAACAAGGTAAATGAATATTATCGTATTTATTCCTATCAGTTGTATTTCTCGATGAGTGTTGAATCAGGTTGCAATTAGATCCACCTGAGGAATGCTGAACTGCAGACAGTGTGAATGGACGATGTCTGGATGTCATCTTCAGTTAGTTGGACATGGACAGTCTGGGCAAGACAGAACATCGGCAATGGTGTTTCCCACCCCTGGAATATGTCTCTCTGTCCGTGATGTACAAGGACATCTTGATCTACATCGTGACAGGTACTTCACAAACTTTACAATGGTTTAACTAAGCTAAAGGCAATGGAATTCTGTCTTTGCTTGATTAAGTTCCTATAAGGTTTCTCTGAGCAGCTTCTGCTATCTGTAAGCAATCTATATAATGACCCGAGGATAAGACTGAAGCCTTACAGTACAGATCATCAGTGTATACATGTATGTGACAGACCTACCTTTGGATGAGTTGTCAGTGTAGAAGAACCCGACACATAGCACACCTGCAACATTGGTGGAACATGAACGTGAGTGAGTGAGTGAGTGGATGGAATGAGTGGATGGAGTGAGTGAGTAGGCGAGTGGAGAGAGTGAGTGGATGGAGTGAGTGAGTGCATAGAGTGAGTGCATGGAGTGAGTCAGTGAGTGCATAGAGCGTGTGGATGGAGTGAGTGAGTGACTGCATGGAGTGAGTGTGTAGAGTGAGTGCATAGAGTGTTGTGAGTGCATGGAGTGAGTGAGTGTATAGAGTGTGTGCATGGAGTGAGTGGAGTGCATGGAGTGTGAGAGTGTGTGGAGTATTGTGAGTGCATGGAGTGAGTGCATGGAGTGAGTGAGTGTGTGGAGTGAGTGTTAGAGTATTGTGAGTGCATGGAGTATTGTGAGTGCATAGAGTGTGTGGATGGAGTGAGTGAGTGACTGCATGGAGTGAGTGTGTAGAGTGAGTGCATAGAGTGTTGTGAGTGCATGGAGTGAGTGAGTGTATAGAGTGAGTGCATGGAGTGAGAGTGCATGGAGTGAGTGAGTGCATGGAGGATGTGTGGTGTGTGGAGAGTGCACAGAGTATTGTGAGTGCATGGGTGAGTGCATGGAGTGAGTGAGTGTGAGTGAGTGCATGGAGTGTGTGGAGTGTGTGGAGTGAGTGTATAGAATATTGTGAGTGCATGGGTGAGAGTGCATGGGTGAGTGAGTGCATGGAGTGTGTGGAGTGGAGTGAGTGCATAGAGTATTGTGAGTGCATGGGTATTGTGAGTGCATGGGTGAGGGAGTGCATGGAGTGAGGGAGAGTGTGTGGAGTGAGTGCATGGGTAGTGTGTGGAGTGAGTGCATGAGTGAGTGGTGTGAGTGTGGGTGGATGTGAGTGCATGGAGTGTGTGGGAGTGTGTGGAGTGAGTGCATAGTGAGTATTGTGAGTGCATGGAGTGAAGTGAGTGAGTGCATAAGGTGTGTGTGGTAGTGAGAGTGCATGGAGTGTGAGTGCAGGAGTGTGTGAGTGTGAGTGCATAGAGTATTGTGAGTGCATGGAGTGTGAGTGCATGGAGTGTGTGGAGTGAGTGCATAAGTATTGTGTGAGTGCATGGAGTGAGAGTGTGTGGATAGGAGTGGTGAGATGGGTGAGTGCATGGAGTGTGCATGGTGTGTGTGTGGAGTGAGTGCATAGAGTGAGTTGGAGTGAGTGCAGTGGGATAGAGTGATGAGTGTGAGTGCATGGGTGTGGAGTGTGTGGAGTGAGTGCATAGAGTATTGTGGTGCATGGAGTGGTGCAAGGAGCGTGGAGTAGTGAGTGTGAGTTGAGAGTGCATGGGTGAGTGAGTGCATGGAAGTGTGTGGAGTGAGTGAGTGAGTGCATGGAGTGAGTGCATGGGTGAGTGAGTGCATGTGAGTGTAGTGCATGGAGTGAGTGAGTGCATGGAGTGAGTGCATGTGGTGGAGTGGAGTGAGTGCATGGAGTGGAGTAGTGTGTGGAGTGCATGGAGTGAGTGCATGGAGTGTGTGCATGGAGTGTGTGTGTGAAGTGAGTGCATAGAGTATGAGTGCATAGAGTGAGTGCATGGGTGTGGAGTGAGTGAGTGTATAGAGTGAGTGCATGGAGTGAGTGAGTGCATGGAGTATGTGAGTGAGTGAGTGAGTGAAGTCACATGGGCAATATCACAGATATAGGTCTAAAAGTAGTACAGGAACATCAAAATGTGGATGATCAGAACCATACATTCTAAAGTTGGGTGATAGATCCCCAGCTAAGTTAAGGCCACCACACTATGGACCACTGACATATTCTGGATTACTGTACAACATCCCTCTGTCTACTGGCGATGGCTAGACAGTGAAGTAAAACAATTATAATGAACAGAAATGCTACTACCAAGTTGGATGAAAAATACTATAACGACAAATGTAAGTTGTAGTAAACATAGTTATGGCAATACAACGCTGTGGTTACCTTCTCATGAGCTGACTGAATGACCCAGTTACAGCTGCCCAGGCTGTACCCCGAGCTGGACGGCATCACTTTCATCGAGCCGAATATATCCTGCAGCAGAAGACACACACCAGTTGCACCAGGCAATACAAGAATGAGCAATTTCCGACAATAATTTAGGCTGATATCATACACCTACAAGGTATTAAGGCAATATATGTGCATGAGAGATCAACAAGTGTTGATATATTGATATCAAAAGACTTAAAATTGTTTTAAAAATGAGTATGTGAGTGTGGTTTTACGCCGCGTGTAGCAATATTCCAGCAATATCAAGGCGGGGAACACCAGAAATGGGCATCACACATTGTACCCATGTGGGGAATAGAACCTGGGTCTTCAGCATGACAAGTGGATGCTCTAACAACTAGGCTACCCAACTATCATTTTTCAGGAATAAACAGAAGTGTACAAACATTTACTTAAATATACATTCATACAAACACAGAAAGATATAAGTAAAATATATGTAATTACTAGGGGTGACTATTGAGGGGGGAAACAACTATTGCGATAGAGATAGTCTTTTGCAACATACTATTGCAATAGTTTTTCTCCTTGAATTGTCTAATTTGAAGTCATTTCCCAAATGAATGTATAGTTTATATGAAATAAAAAAAGTTGCAGAAGTTTCAGTCTCTTTTAATAACTGACAAGAAACTTCAAACCCAGATCAAGTAAACAGTTAAAACAAACTCAATGAAGCTGCAAGTCTGCACCCAAACAATAAAACAATACTGCAGATGTATCACTACTGAACTATCACTAGTTAACTACTACACTATCGATAGTCACAAATACTGTCGATGCATCAATAGTTTTCATTTCTACCATCGATTAATTGCTATCGGAGACTCCACAATTGCAATCCATTGATAGTTTGATGCATTGTGTTCATGAACACTTTTTGTTAAAGTTGTTTTGTGCATTGTGGGATTTTTTTCAGACTGAGTTTTTGAGAAGAACAAAGTGTATAAGCTTTAATGATCAGGATGTTGCTTAAACAAAGCCATGTACAAGGTACTCACTGTTTTCTGGTTAAAGCCAACAATCTGTACCCGTGACAGACTGGACTCGACATCCTGCAGGGTATAGCACTGTTTCCACACACTTGGCTTGACAGCCTCCTTCAAAGGGGTTGGCAAGTTCCTGTAAAACAGCACAAGATTACCTCACATTCATCTTTACACGGATAAATCTTGGCCTCACATTCACCATAACACAGATAAATCTGATCTTTACATTCACCATAACACAGATAAATCTGATCCTCACATTCACCATAACACAGATAAATCTGATCCTTACATTCACCTTAGTCACATTAACCTTGACTCACTGTGATTTTTTAACACACTCCCCTTTGCTCAAACTAGTGAGTGAGTATAGTTTTACGCCGCACTCAGCAATATTCCAGCTATATGGCGGCGGTCTTTAAATAATCGAGTCTGGACCAGACAATCCAGTGATCAACAGCATGAGCATCGAATTGCGCAATTAGGAACCAATGACATGTGTCAACCAAGTCAGCGAGCCTGACCACCTGATCCCGTTAATCGCCTCTTACGACAAACATGGGCTACTGAAGATCAATTCTAACCCAGACCTTCACAGGTACTTTGCTCAAACTAAGCTAGAACGGATTTCATGTCATTCTGCATTGCTCTGTAAAGTTTCAAATACAAGCAAACTGCAATTTTATTTTATGTATAAAAAGATATCCCTGAAAGCCTACTTGAGTATTTCCTGCTGTTTCCAGCGAGTGGCTATGTGAGCTCTGGGGTTCCTCTCCACATACGTCAGCAACTCCTCCATGTACTGCCTGCAACATCACAGCAACATCACAGCAACATAAGACAATGGCAAGACATCACTGGCTCAAAACATTGACAGTTGCCATGGATACCACACTTGATCAGTTTCTGTTCTGATGCCACAAATGAAAAGATACTGATAATCAACATCTCTAGGATGGGTGACTGCAAGCTGTCATGCACAGCTGCATCCCTTAGCCTTGCCAGCATCTGCTTAATGACTTTGACCATTTGCTTGTCAACATAACTTTCAGGAAACTGACCCCCACACCCATCCCCACCCCAAAACCCAGAGTAGTCTGTAACCACGGAAACTGTATCTTCTCTACATTCTGTGCAGTACCCATCCTCCAGAACCCTGTGTATTCTGTAACCATGTAACCATGGAAACTGTATCTACACTTTCCTTCCTATCTGCAATGTGGGTTCTGTGCAATACACAACCTCCCCCAGAACCCTGTGTATTCTGTAACTATGGAAATTGTACCTACTCTACTGTCCTATCTGCAGTGTTGGTTCCGTACAGTACACGACTCCCCGACTCCCCGTAACCCTGTGTATTCTTTAACCATGGAAACTGTATCTACTCTACCTTCCTATCTGAAGTGTGGGTTCTGTAAAGTACACCACTCCCCGTAACCCTGTGTATTCTGTAACCATGGGAACTGTATCTACTCTACCTTCCTATCTGCAGGGTGGGTTCCGTGCAGTACACAACCCCCCGGAACCCTGTGTACTCTGTGATGTAGGGGAGAGCCAACATACAGGAGTAGTTGGAGATCAGAATGGCATCAATTTGGCTCAGATCCACCATGTTTACCTGGAAATAACCATATGTTTGAATGATGTGAGAGGTACAAGACAATTATTATCTTTACTTAGTAATTTACATGAGTTTTGCATCTTCAAATGTACAGATACTGAACAAATGTAACAGTGTTCAATATATTCTTTCAGCAATATTCCAGCAATATCACAATGGTGAACACCAGAAATGAACTGCACACATCATACCCATGTGCTGAGTCTTCAGTGAGACAAGCGCAATCTTTAACCACTGAAGGTTAGACAGCAACTTCAGAACAGTCTCCTACAGTATTTCATTATACAACAGGGGGTGGTGGGGTAGCCTAGTGGTCAAAGCGTTCGCTCATTATGTCGAAGACCCAGGTTCGATTCCCCACATGGGTACAATGTGTGAACCCATTTCTGTTGTCCCCGTCGTGATATTGCTTGACTATTGCTAAAAGTGGCGTAAAAGCATACTCGCTCACTCACTCATCATATAACAGACCAAGCAGGGCGTGCTTCAAGATCATCAGTGCTAACTCACCTCTGGAGTGAGGAACTGTGGTGTTCCATCCACAAACACACGACCGCCGCACTCCTTCAACTCCTGACACTAGACAACAGAAAATATATGTCTGCATTCACTATGACAACAATAGATAGACAAAATCAGTCCCATCAGTCCAGTGTTCAGCACACTTCCTGAGCAGACAATACTGAAGAAATAATTGCCAATAAGAAACTACTCACTTACAAATTTCAGAGTTTTAGGAGAACTTATGCAAAAGATTCAAAGTAGACGCTAATGATGATCTGTGACCTATGCATTACCATCACTATATCCATGTGCCTGATATATGTATCATTTGTGTAGTAAACATTACTACAATTTAGTACTCCCGGAGTCATATTTGAAAAATGTCATTCCAAATTGTAATCTTAAAACATTCTTATGACATGTCTATCAATCATGACTTAGATTGCGATGACCTGAAACATTACAAGAGTGAAAACTGTGATCCTGTCTTCTTTGATGATTACTTAATATAAGCTTGATCATCCTCAATCCATGACTTACAAATTTTAACATTACAGTCAAAGCAATTATGTAAACCTGAGCATGAAAGCCGCTTTCTTTGGTTTATTCATACTCTTGTGAGTGAAATACAAGTCACCTCTACCATGTCTACAGGACCATACAATTCTTAATATAACCTTATTAACATTAATCGGTAAATATTTAAATACAAAAAACATGTACACATGTGACAAAATGCACTGTAGCCATACGACTGATATATCATCACATCCTGAGTGTTGACATTAGTGTTGGGAATTGGTTAAAATCTCATAATTGATGATTGGTTCATTACCACCGATCAATCATCGAAAATAATTGGTTAGCGTCATTTATGAAATTTGTTACTGCACAAAAACATAAGGAAAAAACAGGGGGGGGGGGGGGGTTGGCAAAATTTCACATCTTGAAAGGATGACTAGTATGTTAGGAATATAAATTTCTTGGGGTCTTTAAGATAAATTCAATCATGACTTGGAACGAGCTTATAGTGTTTATGAAATGTAACAGACAAAACCAACCTTGTGAAAAATATTGTTGATGAAAACAAGTGTTCCAGAATTGTTTGTGTTCGATTATGAGAAAACATGATCGATTGCTTGGTCGTTTAGTCACTGCGACCAATCTTCGATTATTTCAATTAATCAGATCACCACTAGTTGACATGTGGTTATAATTATAAGTTATAGGGCTGTGTATTGGCAAATTAATTGTATTGCAATAAGTTGCGATTCAGGTACCCATATTGCAATACGTATTGTGAAATATTGGTAACTTAGGTGTTTAACAGTAGGTGACACTTATTGTACATGTTGATCAAATTTTCTACATCATAAGTCCCTAAAAATATATGTTATGGTTCTGATAACAGCAATCTCAAACTTAGGTTGTATAGTCAGGGATTCTATTTTCTTTTTCATAAATTTATAGTATTACAGTGTGCAGTTTTGTAATTGAATAACCAAGTAAAACATCTGTTGTGAATGAAAGTCTGTGCAGATTTTCACTTAAACCATAAAGATAATCACAAAAACTTTATACATGTTCTTTGCTCAAAACACCAGTTCACAGAAAAAAAAATACCAATACACATCGTTTGAAAATCGTTTTGCGGTATACCGGTAATACCGTACATAGAGAATACTACACGAGGTCTCATTACATACGAATTATACGAAATGAGTGTCCTTCCTATGGTATCTGAGTTTCGTATAATTCATATGTTATGAGACCGAATGTGATATTGTATTTATTACCCACGACTTACACGCTTTAAATTGACAAAATAGCATATTTTTGTTATTTTTATGGTGTCAAAAGGAAAACGGTTTCATAAAGAGGTTGCAGAAGACTGTTGTTCTGTAGTACACTTTTTGCATGACGTCACACTTTAATGACGTCACTACGCATTGCTCGTCTGCCCCATTGGTAACCGATGTCATTTTGCATGTCGTACAGCCTCCTACAGTAAACTACTCCGTGGCACTCTGTCTCTTAGTTTGCAGCTGCTTCACTCGGCTAACATCACTGGTGGAAACTTTATGTTTTTCGACGCATGTAATGTCTCAGTTTGACTCACAATTAAACAGCGACACGGCAACGTTCCCAATGTTTACATTCCCACAATGCATATAAGTTGTAGAATGAATTAAATCCTGTGTTTGTTATGAATGAAAAAGTAGTTCCGTCACAACGTGACCTAAATGAGTGGTCATTGGTTATCCAATCAAATTGTTAGAATCTAAGGTCAAGCCGTTACGACACAGGTCAACGTGATACGACACTCGTGTGACGTACGAGATTAGTATGCACCTACCCATACATTGACCACGTGGGTAATAAAGTCCTATATACTTACCACATCCTCCCCTAGCTTTGACTTTCTGTCAACACCTGGATTCCATGTCCGAACTTTGGAGATCTGGCAACTGGTAGTGTAGAGAAAGAAATTAAATGTGTCAAAAAGTCCAAAATGATATATAGTCCGATGAATGATTAAATATCTTAAAATAGGGATAAGTGTACAAAACATAAATAAGACACATGGTCCTAAAACCTGTGTACCCAACAGGATCTGAAATCAGTGTGAAGAGTGAAAATAGCACAAGATTACACGATAGTCTCTTAAAAAACTTTTTCCGTGATCGATCCTGTTGGGTACAGAGGTGTCAGGACCATGTGTCTTATTTATTTTTTGTGCACTTATCCCAATTTCGAGATATTTAATCATTTGTTGTTCTCAATTGAACCTAAACAGACTACAGATCAAGTCAAACATATAAGTAACTATAACATCACTGGCAGTAAATATCTGTGAAGTGTATGGTAAAATATATGCACACAGTTATGTAGATCTTTCTTTGTTGATAAATGACAATTACTTTCATTGAAATATTTGTTTTCAAATCACCTGTGTCAGTGTGTGTTATTTCCGATTCTTATTATTCATTCCAATGCTTACCCGGGTATAACGGTTAAAGGGAGGAAATGCTGAATCTGTCCAATGTCTAGGCCACAGTCGAGCATGAGACTAACCCCCCTTGAAGTAGAGCACGAAGCAGGGCTTACTTGGGTTGCTGCTGAGGCATGTCTGCAGAAAAATAAACGAGATTCTCAGATTGTGCAAAGATGTTTCATTGTTAAACTAAATATGCTCAAAAGCCAATCACGAAAAAAACACCCCTAGTGATATTTAATCCATTCTAACTCGAGCTCATTATTGTCACTATGTCTCAGGAATCTACTAACCAGCTTCATTCTTATGAGTTATTCCCGATATCCCAATCTTTGTTTTTCCCTCAGGCACGTTTGGTTTTCTTACACAAATTTAGAGTTATCGCCCTTTGATAAACTCCTTGCAGTGAACAAATTCCTACCCTGTTTGAAGTTTAGTAATGCGTGCGCTGAATGAATATCGGTAAACCAACTGGTGGATCCTCAATGTCAGGTGCTCATTTTGAATATATCTTCAAAACAGAGCTGAGAATTATTTTACGTCACAACTATAATTCAACTAACTGGAAGAATGTTAAATTTTTCTCTCGGTTTTGTAAAACATAATAACTGTGCAGATTTTTAAAGTGAAAATGGATATAATAAAATTATATAAGTAAAACATTTTATCTGATAACATAACATTTTTCACAACACCAATTCATGCTATTGTTCGCTTCCTTTCCATTTCAACACTTCACTGTACCAGCCAGATCACGCGGCGATGTTTCAGGATCTAAGTCCGCCGCAGGAAGAAATGATTCACGGTGGACTGCCTCAATAACATACGGTGCAGTAAAATGTGGTGCTCAGAGCTGTTTGAGTGAGAGAATCACTGCCTCCCAAAACCGCTGGGGTAACATCTAGTCTCCGAAATGATAATATTTTACAGAAAAAAATTCACAAATTACATACAGAAAAGTATAATGAGCCAGATAACGAAGACAACTGTGAGTGCTCTGGACTTGATTAATATACAATATGGACATTCAAATAGCGAAAGTAGGTCATTTCCCCCAAAACATTTTAATTACTGTATAACATAAAAAGTTTTACTCCTTGAAATGATAGATTGAACACGCGGTGAGTGAGACTAGTGACTGAATGACAAAATATAACGGATGTTAAGTTCCGACTATATAAAGTACTGCGGAAATAGAAAAATTAACTTTTGTTCTTTTCACATTTATATCTACAATTTATGTACAATGTAGTTAATATGTGAAAGTGGGAAATACCTGTTAAACTAAGTTCGGTCTAGCTATACAGTCTCAGTGGTAAGGTGATAGGAAACGTTAAAAAAAAGACTTTACTGAGTCCAAATCGACTTATTTCGAACAGACCATGACTTTATGCAAATTAGAGTGCGATGGTATTGTATTACAAAATGCACTTTTTAATGCCCATTTTGAAATTAAATTTGACTTCATTATAAACGATAGCTGACGTAAAAAATAATAACTTTAATACTGAAACTATTAAGGATGTAGCTACCATGGAGTCTCACTATCACCATCAAAAGAAACAGGTAGGAGGGGTCGTCTCAAAAGCAAAACCAGGACGGGTGTTGCAGACGGCGATTGGGGTCGGGCTTGGGGATAGAGATATCAGCTAAAAGAAGATAATCCTTTAGAGGAATTAAACTGGGGAAGTAAACGGCGTGTCATAACAGTTTACAAATAATATCCAGTCCAGTCGATCTTCGGGTGGTCATGCCACCTATATATTTTGAGACACTTAATACGATGGCTGACTATAGTTTTTCTATGCGCATCATACTTTTTTACATATCTGAACATAAACTTTATGAAAGAAAGACACGTAAGATGTTAATCAATAGATGAGACATATTCAACATACAAGAAAAACTTAAATTATCTTTGAGATTACCCCTTGTGCCTGTAGGCAGCACAAATAAACGATCACCCATCAGTTAGTCATGTGATCCCAGTCAGATGTGCACTATTTACAATGCAACTTGAAACTGTCTCTTCTTGTAAATAGCAGTAACAACTGCGGCTAGCTTATAGGGAAATAGCTTAATGGTCTCTGATAGAACTATCATTTTGCATAATGTTTTAAATTGTTCCTCTGCGGTTACGTTTCTTAAGGCTGGGAAAGCGGTCTGTAGAAAATCATATCGTAGATCGGAATAATATTCACATTCTGTTAAGAAATGTATCTCATCCTCGAGGCATGAGCGCTCACATCGCCTACATACACGGAGTTGGAAGAGTGTCTGGCAGAGTAACGGCCAGCCTCAACTTCTAGGTGAGGTGAGGTGAAATTGGGTTTAACGTCGTGCTTGAGAATATTTCGCTCATATGACGACGTGCATGCGTGTGTATGTGTATGTGCGGCTGCTTGTACTAGCCCAGACTGAAGCTGGTTTTATAGTGCTAGCCCACTGAGATGCCATGCCGCAGTGAAGCATGAATACCCCATTCAGACACATTATACTGACTCCGAGCCGACCAGTCCTTATTTTACCCATTAATGCCGAGCGCCAGGCAGGGACCAACAAGTACCATATTTTAACGTCTTTTTGTATGACGCGGTCGGGATCGAACCCGCGACCTTCCGCTCTCCGGGCGGACGCTTTAACCACTACACCACGGAGGCGGTCTGCCTCAACTTCTAAGGGGAAAGAACTGCAGCGAAGCTTAGCCACGATGCTACGTTGTCTGTCTGAAACCGACATAAGTCGACGTATTTAGCTGATTCTTATAAAGAGTCTAAAGGTCCTCAGCTTATTTCCATTTAATTGGCCAGTGTCGTTCCAAATATCCCGTAACCAGGCTTCGGCGTCATTAACTCTCAATGTACGTAAGATGAAATTCACTACGTATGATTAGAGAAATTATAAATGTCAAATGGGAGCTGAAGAGAGGTAAACATGCTACTATAACCGTTCCTAACCCTTGACTTTCGAAAGGCATGAGACTAACTTCGTATCTGTGCAACAATGATTACACAATGCGATTTAGAAAGTGGTCAAATGTAATATATGTTATATCTGGGATTACACTGTCATAGTAAAGTACAAATTCTAGTACTTTTGTTGTTAGGTTGAGTCCCATCCGGGATTCGAACCCACACTCTCAGAGTCAGGCACCTAATCGCCAGCACACAAAGTCAGCCGCCTAACCCGCTCAGCCAACAAAATGTACAATAATACCCATGCTGCAAAGATCGGACAGGTTTAGAAAAGAACTTACGGTGCTTTTGTGTGGTAACGGACAAAAGTTGACTAAACCGGACTGCTTTATAATCCGGACAAACGAGTCGGTCCCAGGCCAGTCCGTAATAGACAGATTCCGCTGTACCTCATATCGCATTCCTCCAAATGATTTAAATTTACTTATTATTACACCCAGTGCTCTAATCGATGATTTGGCGATTTCTTTGGCTGTATAGATCATATTTAAGTGTTCTTCTAACCATAAACCTAGATATTTCTATGACGAACAAATATCAATGCTCTCATTTCCACATTTAAACCCAAATAATGTTCGATTCGCTGATGGAGGACGATAGTGAACAAGCTAAGTTTTGTTAAGTGTTAATTTCGAATTTCTCCACCTCTTACACTATTCAGCAACACAGTCGAGTGAGTGAGTATGATGTTACACCGCGTTTAGCAATATTCCAGCAATATCACGGCGGGGGGCACCAGAAATGGGCGTCACACATTGTACCCATGTGGGGAATCGAAGCCTGGTCTTCGGTGTGACGTGCGAACGCTTTAACCACTAGGCTAACCCACCGCCCCAACACAGTCGAGCTATACCAGGCCTACCAAAGAAAACTTTCCCAATGTGCACAAAAACGCAGAAAAGCCCACATTAATCGTGAAAATAGCAACATAAACATAATACCTCGCTACTGAAACAGTAAAACGGCAACGAAAGACTATGAAACTGCAACATTTTTATATCAGCGAACTTTGACCTCTACTGCGCATGCGCATTACGATCCGCGCTTCTTTCCAATTTCCGGGCAACCGTGAATCACCTTGCGTAGAAAAAGTATTAAATATGTCGAAATAATTGCTGTCAATCATTTCATACGAATTGACAGTAAACTAAACAAGTGTGCACATAAGTGTCATGATGATAAATGCCAAATAACACAACAGAAATACTTAAAAAGGGAATGTAACTTTTGTCCAAGCTGGAAAATGTCAACATGCGTTCGAGACTTCCTCTTCCGTGTGCGCATGCGCAAAATCGAAGTTGCAGGTTCTTCGTCTTTTATGCAGTTTTAGCGATTTAAAGTTGCCATTTCAGTAGCGAGGTATTATGTTCATGTTGCTATTTCCACGATTAATATGCGTTTTTCTGCACAGTGGCAAAATTGTCTTTGCTAGGCCTCTATACTGTACATCCATGGGCTTAGCTTTCAGTATAGCCTTGGAGCAAGGCTAGTCCAATCTCATCACGCCGCGTCATAGACTGTCGTACAGACCCTGAAGCAAATATATCCAAGAAAGCCCACGCAAGTCTAGAAAATGTGGCAAGTCTAGATTTCCTCAGCTTCAGGAAATGAAGAAAGTCTCTATATATTTTTTTACTATGAACTTTTTCAGTAAAATATGTTCATTTCAGAGACTAGTTGTTAGTCTAGCCGCGTCACTGCGCATTAATAACCGGGTCTCGACACGGAAACCAACCATTATAACGCTATATCCTGTTGGCAGTCTACAACACACAGACAACGTATCACATTTCTTCCTATCCGTTAATCTGTTACGTACACAGATTTAACACTCGTCACGTGTCTACACTATGGACTAAAACACCCACATAAACACGCTGAACTCCAATCAGGCCGTATTAATCAGCATGAAAGTGACGTTCAGTCTCTGAATATATATATATATATATAACTTTGATAGAAAAAATAACTTATTTTCATATGGAAAAGCGGCCCCAGTGAGATAAAAGATACAGAAACGCAATATGGCCCGTAAACCATCAAATCTAGTTATGTCTGAGGTAAATCTGGAATAAGTATTCATACACCCAACACTTCTTTATGTCATCGATTCAAAACAACATTAGACTGGCAGTTAGTCTCTGAATATATCTAATTTTGATAGAAACAAATAACCAATTTAGTTTGAAAAGATACAAGATCTAGACTTGCATTAGTATTACAGAAAAGGCTGGTCAAAAGGAAAATAATGTGGCTCAGGGACTGTGAGACAGGCTGTAATCTAAGTATATTGGCCTCGAAATAGCAAACGTCATTTACAAGCAGAC